TATTCTATAGAGGAACTGAATCAGGGATCTTCTAGAGTAAGACCCCTTTTATAAAGAGCTGAAGTAGGGGCCTTCCATAGAAGATCTGAAGAAGGGCTGGAGAAGAATGGATCTTCTATGGAAGAGCTGAAGAAGAGGGAAACTTCTATAGAAGAGCTAAGAACTTCTATAGAATAGAAGAGCTTCTTCTATAGAATATTCTTTCTAAAAAATTGGTTTTCTATAAAAGGGAGCTGAAGAGTAAAAAAACTGCTTACAAGAAAAAAAATAGTTTCCGCAGATTCGCTGCAGTAGGCGAGATTGAAATGAAAATCTATATAGATGGACATTTATTTAGACTATCTGAAAGAGAAACGAGTATCGCGTATAAGACAATTCTTCGATGATGAAATTTACTCCGATTTTTTAAAAATATTCCTAATACTATAAAAAATTGGTAACGTCAAACCCAAAATGTCACGAATTGAAATGTCAAAAATAACATAAAAAACTTTAAACTTATCCTCCAAAAATAAACCACAAAAAATGTTAATGAAAACAAAAAACACTCACACACACATAACCCCAAAAAACTGGCTCAAACATGAAATTAATGAAAAATAAAATCGAAAGTTGTTTTACTTTTTTATCTAAAGTTACAGCGTCGACGTCTACTGCGCAGCATTTGGAGAAATGTGAATTTAAAGTTTTTGTTGGTATTTTTGTTTTTTTTTTTATTTTATTTTATATTTTTCGGCAGTCAAAATTGAGACAGCGAGACAAATGAACAACTAACTGATCCAATTGACAGGCAGGCAGACAAGCAAACCTGCTGTAGTTGTAATAGCCGGTCTAAAAGAAAACCCTTGACTTGGCAGCCCACTATTTTGCTCCCCACAACTTGATGGTAGGACATTGCCGATGTGACATTTATTGTCTTTATTTACGCCCATATAAATGTCATGATGAAGGTGATTGGCTATGCTCTGATAATCAGTTTGTATACTTTTGGTTTGGTTACCAGCCGCCTCTTTGTCTCCATGAAAAGAAAATGAAAAGCATACTTTGCCACCTTTTTGGTTAGTCTAAGACTCGATTACAAATCAGCCATTCTGACGCCTGGAATCACTTTCATTTTATCGGTGGTTGGTCACTTTTATCTATTTTCTTCCAACACACACACCAAAATAAATTTTCCATGTAATTTGTCTTTGACTTTGACATCTGGACAGTGAAGGTTTTTTTCGTTGCATATTTTTCCTTTTGTTGCTATGTTATTTCCTATTTGGTCATTCACTTCCCGATATTATGTATGCAGTCAAAAAAATTTTTGAAGGGTTTCCTTCGTGATTACTAGTTTGTTTATTCATCGAAATAAGAATTCGATGTGCCTATGGAATAGGTGAAAAAGATATGGGCTGGGCAAAGTGTTTAATTGACGAGAGGAAGAATGGTCTTTACAGACAAACTTTAAAGGTGAGATGAAGAGGGCAGTTGTTATTGACAGGAAGAAAAACATTACTTTAGACGAAAAGAGGGGAATGCAGTCATTATTGACGAGATGAAGAGGGTATTTATAGAAGAGCTGGGGGAGTGATGAGCTGAGGGGAGCCTTCATAAACGATTTGAAGGGAGTCTTTATAGACGAACTGAAGAAATTCTTTATAGGCGCGAAGGAGCGAGACTTGAGGTGAGTCTTTATAGACATTTTTTCAATAAAGACTCATCTATTAAGACTCCCTTGGAACTCAAGGGCATCTTTATAGACAAGCTGAAGAGAGTATTTATTGACGAGCTGAAATCCAGTGGTTTTGTATTTTAATAAAAATAAATCTGCAGTCTTCATAGACGAGCTGAAGGGCGTTTATAGACCAGCTGAAGACCGTATTTATTGTCGAGCTGAAGGTCGTCTTTATAGACAAACTGAAGGGCACCTGAAGAGCGTCTTTATTGACGACCTGAAGGGTGTCTTTATAGATGAAATGAATGGAGTCTTTATATATTTGCTGAAGCCCGTCTTTATAGACGTTCTGATAAGCGTCATTATAGACATTCTTAAAAGTCATTAGACGATATAAAGACGGGTTTTGATGACCGAATGAGGAAGTAGAGTAACTTCTGGTAATGTGGACCATGCGTCAAATGTGGACCACCCCCCATATCTAAGAAAATGCTTGAAATATGTCAATGCCGCCTTGATAAATGTTTTCGCAATTAGTGAAAGAAAACATCATACTTGGTTTTTAATAAATAATTGCAATGTTGAAAATTTAGTAGGTGAAAATGTAGCTCTGATTGTAAAAGTGTGATTTGAAAATTTTTTAGCACAATAGTCGAACGATTTTGTAAAATAGTCGAACAGTTAGTTTTTCTCGAATATAAAGAGGTTATGTGGTTTTCTTGTTTTCTTTAACAAAAATACACGTTTATCTGTAATTACAATCGGTTATTTTTAAATGTTTATTCGTTTTTGAAGCCGATAATTATTTTTAAATAAAAATATTCAATGTCGGGTAATGTGGACCACTATAAAAAAGAGGGACATTTTCATTAGGACGAGCTCGAAACAAGGACGCATTTAATATGCGAGGAGGTATTCTATCCTCTGAAAACTCGATATTCGAAATTATAGGTGCCTCGGTTGAATAATGAAGCAAGGAACTTCAAAATACCGCAAATGTGGTGGTACCCCTAAAAGGGGGCTATTCCAAAACATGGACCCATATATTTTTGCATTCATTGTTACCCAAGAGTGCAATAAATTGATATTTATCACAATTAATCCACAACCTACCTTTAACTTACTGATCCTCATTAGCCACACATACTGGTCCACATTACCCGCCAAGTTATTTTTATTTGCAGTTTAGAGTTTTTTGAAATATAATGCAATAACATTTTTATTGACAAATATATATAATTTTTGACCTGGAATATAATTAGCCAACAAATCTACCATGTTGTGAAAACAATTTGTTTTTATTTTTTACCTTTGTTACGCCCACAATATAAAAAAAAGAAAATGGTGGTCCACATTACCCGAAGTTACTCTACATTCGTGGTCTGTTACCTATATTGCTGACCTAGAGCGCTGCCTAAATTAGTTACTTTACATTTCCTTTGGAAATTTTAACATTTCTCAGCAAAAACGCACTCAGAATGGTTTGGCGTACGAATATGTGTTGTGTTCCTTAAAGTGATGAGGAAAAATCAATTAGTCGAAGAATTTAATTTCTGAAAATTATGCAACAATTTGATTGGCTTTGACAAGAGTGCATCGATGAATTTAAATCTTTGTTCAAAACTAAGTTGCTTAAAGGCGAAGTTAATTAGGCAATATGGATACAGTTTCTGATGAAAGAAGCCTCCAAATGAGTAAGTACACTCAAGGGCTACAGTCTATATTTCTAGCATTGGCTGCTGCCTAAATGTTGCCAGAAGCCATCTGACATTACCCTTGGAACGTTTGACATTCCTCAGCAAAAACGTACTCAGTAAAATTTGGCGTACGAACATGTGTGGTGTTGTTTGTAACATGGAAAAACAATTTATCGAAACATGGAATTGACTCGTTAACACTTTGATCGACGTTGAAGAGAATATATCGATCAGCTAGAATGTTTTTTCAAAACTAAGTAGCCAAAAGACGAATTTCCTTAGATAGTATGATGAACACAATATTTATAAAAACCGAATGAGGAAGTACATTCGAGGAAAGCTTGACATTTGTTAGCGATACGTACTCAGTATGATTTGGCGTACGAACATGTGTTGTGTTGTTTAAAGTGACATGGAAAATCAGTTTATCGAAAAATGGAATTAACTCATTAACTTTGTAACACTTTGAGCGACGTCGAAGAGAGTACATCGATGAACTGAAATCTTTGTTCAAAACTGGCTCGCTGAAAGACGAAGGTCGAGAGCATAAAAGGCGTATGAACCCAAAAAAAAAAAAAAATCCAACAATCGACCATGTGAGTCAAATCGAAGATGATCCAATCCTACGAAAATTCTTCATGAATGAACACGGCCGATTCTGAGTGATACTCCACTGGTGAAATAAGGCTTCTCTATTTATGGTAGCCTATAGGAGCTTTGTCAATATAGACCAACTTACCGACCCGAAACAAAGCAGCGTGTTGGACTTAGAATATGAGTCAAAACTAATTTATTCCGCAAAAATGGTTGTGGGGCAACTGTTCCGATTGCACACCTTAGAACGATTGCACACCAAATGAAGAAAGTCTTGTCCATTCATTAAGTCTATGGGAGCTTCGTCTATATAGAAGCACTTGCGGGATCGAACCAAAACTGCAATCGACCGTGTGGGCCTTCGAAGAATGGTTCCTAATTTTTTTAGCAAAAATGGTCATGGAAGAACGGTCCAATCTAAGTAGTACACCTCAGTTCAAGTGAAGTCCATTGGAGCCTTGTGTATATTATCGAACACAGGAAAGTCTTGCCAATATGGGCCAAATGAAGGATGAAAGAGATCATTCTCCATACATAAAAGCTTTGGAAGTTCTTTCTATATAAAATATTATTACTTCAATACCTTTGATATAAATATTGTCATTCGAGATATCACCATTTATTTAAATATTTGTCAATATTATCGAACACACGAACTAGTCTTGCCAATATAGGGCAAATGAAGGAATTTAATTTTATATAGAGACACATCGAAGAGCTCAATCTCCATATATAAAACGGTGGAAGTCCTTTCTATACAAGATACGCTAACCACGGCATTTTACTCGAATAAGTTTAATAGAAATATTAATACCGTCATTCGAGATATCACCAAATATATGATCAGAATTTCAATTCCACTTTGAACACAAATTTCCAGGTTACGGTACAGTTTATATCGAATGCAATATTTTGAAGAAGTTAACTTACAATTATTTTAAAATTAATTATTTTACAGGTTTATATTATTATTTAAATGACAGGATCTATATAAACAATTTTCAATTTATTGGCTAAATTAAAAAAAAAAGAAAAAAATAGTTTTTTGTTTCCATACCATTTAAATATGAGGCATGCTGTTTCCACAACTGTTGAACTTGAAATTGTGTCCAGCGATTATTGTCCTCCAAATTGGGAGTATTTGTATTATTATTGTTGTTGTTATTGGCATTCACATTATTGCTGTTGTTGAGATTATTCACATTATTGCTGTTGTTGTTGTTGCTGCTGGCTAAATTACCATTCTGATTTTGAACATTGCTTAAAACACCCACTAAACCATTGACCAAATTATGGGCTACAACATTATCACTCAGATGCTGGGCTAAGCTATTATTGCTGTTGGTGTTGTTGTTGTTGGGGTTCGAGGTGTTGTTGGTGCTGTTGTTGCCATTGCTATTTAATAGCATATTGTTATTGTTCATGCCACTGTTATTACTGCTATTACTTAAAGGTGATGAACTGTTGCTGCTACTGTTGTTGCCGTTGACACCACCACCACCTCCATTCAACTGGACAACAGCATTATTAACATTGGCCAAATGCTGCAAATGATGCTGCAACAATTGACTACTCGGTGGCAGTGATGAGACCAAATTATTGCTGAGATTATTTATCGTTTGTTGCAATTGCTGATTGGCATTGGCAACATGTTGCATGGTATTACGCAGCAATGTGTGAGTTGCAACATTGTTGTTGTTAGTGTGATTATTGGCTGGTAGGTTATTGTTACTGTTGTTGGCATGTAATGAATTCCCGCTGTTGTTGTTATTTGGGCTAAGATTTAAATTGTTGTTGAGCAAATTTAGGCTGGCGCTATTATTGGAGGGACTGTTAGGGAGGCTTGAACCACCACCACTAGCAACAGCATTACCGCCAGCCAATAAATGGGGTAAGTTATGCATTACTTGTAGAGGTAAAGAACTCAGAGAGGGTAAGGGTTGTGTAGATCCATTATTGTTGTTGTTGCTGTTTGTGTTATTGCCATTGTTACTGCTGCCATTGTTGTTCAAATGATTAAGTAAATGCTGTTGATTATTCAAATTCTGTTGATGCTGTTGCTGCTGTAACTGTTGTTGTTGCTGCTGCTGCTGTTGTTGATGATGCTGCTGATTCAATTGCAATATCTGCAATTGAGCTCCATTGTGTTGGGCCACAGCCGCTGCAGCCAATGGGCCATTCATCAGCGAGCCCAGCTGTAATGATTGCGGTGGCAATTGATAATCCATTCTCATTGATAGATCACGCATATATGTGGTTAAGCAACAACTCGGAAATAAACATCGGGTTAACGCGTCGCAGATAAAAATTCATTCACAAAAACACGTTCACTCGCTTGTTCAACAAAACATATATTGTAGTTGTAATCAGTTAAGCATTAAATAGTACAACAATTTGAAATAAAATCTTTTTTTTTTTGTGATATATAAGATTATTTTTGATTCTGTGTTTGATATTGAATGTTATGTTGCTTTCTTAAGGTTATTAACAAATACAAAAATTAAAATTAATAAAACAATTTTTTATACGATTATTCGTTGTGGTAAATTTGTTGCACTTTTTTATAATAATTTAGTTTAACACTTTAATGTTTGATTTCAAATCTATAGTATGGCCTCAATATTTGCAATACTTGTTATTTAAATATTTTATTGGTTTTTTTTTTTAAATGTGCGATCCGAATTTTCTATATATAATAATGTATTATATATTAATTAGAATATAACCCGCATTAATTTTTATTTTACTAAAATTTATTTTTTTCAATCATTTTTATATTCAAATATTCGAGGCAGATTAACAATTCCGCAATTTTCGAATATAGGAGGGATATTACATATATTTTTCTAGAATAGTCAAATCAAATCTTGGAGCCATTTGACATGTTCATTGCAAATCTTTTTAAATATACACTTTTTAAATATAAACCTTTTTCAGTGTGGTTTGACGTACCGTCATGTGTTGTTTTGTTCATAGTGTTTTGAACAATTAAATCCCAAAATAATTAACTCGTGCATCTAACATTTCCATTGGAAAAACAATTAATACCATCATGTGTTGTATTCTTCACGTGGCTTGGACAATTAAATCCCAAAAACATGGATTTAGCTCGTGAAAATTTTCGTACAATCATCTGTCACAACTTTCGAAGTCACAACTGTTTATATCGCTGAAGCAGCCTCGTACAATAACTTGAGACCTTGGTTTAATAACAGTCGATCTTCCATATATCGAACTACATTTAGTGATAGTACCGCTAAGGAGGCAAAGTCAAAATAATGCCCCCATAAGTCGAGTTATGGAAGTTCGAATGTAATTGAATCTGGACGAAGCTCATTCAGAGACAAAGTTCGTGAGGGTGGTCCAAAAACGGCAGGGGTGTCAAACTCGTTAACTGTCCTGAGATATAGTCATTACATGAAAATCTGTCCTTTAAGAATATGTGTTCTCTTTGAATCGCACAATCTTTAAAAAAGGCTCGTGGCGATTAGTGAAAGAAATTTTGGAAAAAAAAGATCGATCGCAATGCTTATGGATATTTTTTACGATAAACACAGGTGACAAATCATGGATCTATGTGTAAGAGCCGCAAACAAAACAGCAATTGATCGTATGGTTCTTCGGAGGCATGCAAAATCCAACGAAAGTTCTTCGTGGTAGAAGCACCTCGAAGCAAATAATCGCCTGTTTCTTCGACAAAACTGGTCATATGGCCAATTTTAGCAACGTAGATAGCTATGTTGAAATATGGTTAATTCTTTGTGGTACATCACATCTAGTCTACCTAAAGTCATCAGAAAAATCGACAAAACAAGAGAAATCGAATCATAAAGCGTGGAGCCCAATATGAGCTGTCAAAGATCGGATCAAACAATCACCGCCGTAATATTCTGATCTGACACCAAATACTTCTTTTTAATTCCGCCTATCAAAGAACTTAAAAAAAATACGATCTTCGTGTTTTAGAAGTCGTCTATAAGATAATCTCTGATGACGATTCATAGTATACCGTATACCGTATCGGTTTCCAAAGCCAGCGAGCCAAATCCAACGATAGTTGATCGTGGAAGAAACATTTCGAAGTAAATGATAGCCTGTTTCTACGTTAAAATGGTCATATGGCCACTGGTGCGCCTAGCAACGTATGACGCTAAATTTTGAGCAGTAATCCACAATTTGTTTGTCTGAAGTCTTCTGAAAAATGATGGAGGGAAAAGCTTCATGCCAGTTAACAAACATCAGCTAAAACCTGTACCTCTTTTACTGGCCAAAACACGAAATTTTTGGGGCATCTTCCGTACACCCCTGACTTGACACTTGTAGGCTTCTTTTTATTTCCGCACATATACAGCAAAGACGTTGTCAACGATATTTCCCGCCAAAAGTTGCTGTTGGAGCGCTTAAAAATCGTGTTTTGAAGTTGTCCTAATGAGAGTGGAAAAGATGCTTCGGCAACTGGATTAAAGGTATAAATCAAGGTGGTGAATAATTTCAAAACAAATAAAACCATTTTAGATGATTTTGATGATCCCCACTTTCATTAATAGACCAGATATATATAAAGTAACCCTCGTAACATTATTGGTACTATGCTTAATATGCCCAAAATACCGAATAATAATCGGGACCGTCATATGGACCCTAACCTGAAACTTGGGCCAAAATTGTTCATTTTTGTAAGGTTAACGAAATTATTCTATTGTTTTTTCAATTTTGGTTTTATTATTTTTTTTTAATCTTGGTTTTACTATTTTATTTTCGACTCCAGTTAAAAGATTTTTTCCTTTTTAATTTTAGTTATTTTTTTATCTCCAAAAATGCCGGGGTTGTATTTTTTATATTTTTTAATAAATTTTATAATGATTTGAAATGTTTTATAATTTTTTATTTGTATTTTGAAATATAGAAAATGTAATAAATCCATTACTGTTGTAATCCAAATAATTTGAAGTAGTTGTTGATTGCAAATATTGAGCTCGTACTGTAGGTTTGGTTTTGAGTGCACACAGATAATTTAGTATATTCGATGGAAATACCTATTACATATAGGGTTTTTATTTCACAAAATTTTATGGTATTTATTATAAACTTTATTTATGTTTTTTTTATGCTGAATCAGATCATTTCAGATCGGATCGGATCTTATAAGGCAATTTCTTTTAAGTACTTTAGGTTTGTCACTTTTTTAGTTATTGTTTGCTTTAAACATTTTAACCTTGTAGACTGCACTTGCTTCAAATATTTTTTTTCTATATTATTTTTTTATTTGATGTTTAGAATTCAAAACTAGAGCAGGTTTGAGTAATTTAAATTTTGTTTTTATTACTTTTTTTAAATTTCCAAAAAAATGCTTTGCACTTTAATTGGTATGAATGTAGCTGTGTTGAATTTTGTTATCGTTGGGAATACAAAATTTTGTTTTTGTTTCAGAACTGAGATCTGTTATTTTTTGTTATCACTTTTCTATATTTTCTTTTTGTATATTATATAGGTATTTTCTCACTATAATCTATATGTATTCACACTATACTCAAACACTAATCATTAGATAAGCATTTCATTATTTTATTTTTATTTGTGTGCATTCACAAGCCTTTGTTTATATTTTTCTTCCACTGCAAACGTTAATTAAATGTTTTGCAAATTTTCCGAAATTTTCATTTATTTGTTTTTTTTATTTATTTTTTGAAAATGTTCAAACTGAAAAGCCCGTTAAACAAGTTATAAAAATATCGGCCGATTTCCGTTAATACTACCGGTACCATTGCCATACGTTTGCAGAGTGAGCTCTTCGATCCCGTAAAAGTTCAACAGAAACGGCGGCATACACTACAAAAGCGCACCGTATATGTCTGTCTGTATGTTTGCATATTTCTATGTGTGGTAATACAGTCGTCGTCGTCGCCAGTCTTAGCCAGGCAGATAGCCCAACCACCTTATTATGCAGAGGGAATTTGAAAACCTAACTTGAAATTAAAAACAAAAATAACAGCAACAAAAAACTATAAATGAAAACAAAAACAAAGCAGCACCAGAATCGCATACAAAACTCTCGCTCTCAACGTCAGAGGAAGAGAGCAGAAGAAAGATAAAACAGCAGCCGTAACAGCAAAAACAACAACATACCATTTGCTGAAATGTTGTTATTTTTGTTTGTTTTCTTTTACTCTTTCTCCCAACCAACCAACCATCCAACTAACCCGCCAGCCAGCCAGTTAGCAAGCTAAGCTAGTCCAAGTGTAAGCTTCTTCATTTGTTGCCCTTGTTGGAAACTTTCAGTGAGTAAGCTTTCATGTTTGGTATGAGAGCATTTCTTTTCTTTCACTTGTATTGACTGCAACAAGTTCAAACTTTCGTTTTTGTTTTGGTTCGCTCAAACGTCACAGAACAACTTTCTTTGGACACTCACTTTACGTTAGGGTGTGAGTGTGTGTGGTGATCATGTCGCACAGTGGTATCAGAAAAATATAATTTTAAAATAAATATCGTGCAGAAACAGAAATAAGTCAGGGCTGTACTGCGGATGATGCATCAATTCCATGTGTTTGCCAATCAAAAAAGTGGCGGCCAATGATACGTATATTTTTCTTCGTTTTTTTTTTTTCAAAATTCTCCGTAGACTTGAGGCAAACAAATGTTGGTCTACCACTCATTTCTTATCGTTCCACATTGCTCAGCCGGAAAGAATTGCCAAAGAAACACAACAATCATTGGGTATAGATTGACATCAACGACATACACGTTCGATTGCTGTTGTCTTTGGGGAATAGATGCATAATTTGTCACCTGTTACGACCTTATTTAACGCTTCTTGAAGCACCTCCGGTAATTATAGCCTACACATCTATTTTAAAGGGTATTATAACTTTTTGTGACCTCAAGAGTTTGTAACGCCGCGACATGTTGGTCATAGACCCACCTTTTAGTATACCGTCTCAACTATATGAGCCGATCTAGACATATGTGTCCGTCCGTCTGTCCATTTTAATTTGTAAATACGATACACAGACCAATCTTTACGAAACTTTGCATGGGTAAAAGAAGATCCCTATTGTTTTTGGCATTGATTGGTTAATACTTAGGGGATGAAATGTTTTTCTGGTGGCTCTAGATGTCACAATTATGACCCGAAGTTCACGAAATTCTACAGAGAAAATATGGTGTGATCATAGAATAAGCATAATTGTTTTCATAAAGATCGGCAAATATTTAGCTGGTCAAATGGACCCAGACTTTTGTGTGAAAAATTATAAAATTTTAATTCCATGGCATATGTAGTAATATAATATAGCCAAGAGAAGTGATTGACCTTCAAAATTATTTTATTTTATGGCTAGAA